TGTATCTCCAGCTATTGCAGCGCGATTCGGTATAAAGTTCTGAGGTTCTGTAGGCATTAAGCGGCTACAGTATACTGTAGGCGCTTAACGGCAACTGTAGAGCCTCACAAGTTTATATCATGCTCTTTGGAAAGAGGAACAAGATCTAATACAAGTGTAAATCTAAGTTCAACCTAGCTCTTTGAAATGAACCATTGAAGGATAGAAAAAAAATCTGGAAATAGATGAATTATTGAAGGTCGAACATCACTTATACATCATATAATAGATCAAATGCCCCATGCACGGAAAATATTCAGCTCATTTTTTTTGCGTTTGCACGATTTTGTTTACAGTACGAATACTTGTTTTGAGGTCAACTGGACTTGGGATGCTTGGTGGATTCGGTGGAGGACGTAATAGGTCAAAAAATCCACCTTATTCCTGTGTTAACACTTCTAACACAGTCCTCTGGTTTCACTAACATTTTTAACCCAGAGTATTTCCTCAGATCCCTAGAAATTTTTAGAAAAATAGATGCGAACTTTTTTTGTTTTCAGTTCGTATATTGTTCTTTTAAGATTCTCTTCGCATGGAATTGGTTCACGATCTCGTTCGAGTACCTTTAAAAACATGATTGTCGGTGCTGCGGCTGGATATCTTACTTATCAAGCAGGAAGAGCTATTATCCGATCAATGGCTGGACCAATGATGTGAGTTAATCCGAAATTCATCTACCCCCATGTGCTCCTTATAACTTTTGCTTACTTGCATCATTGTAAAACATGATTTGTTGAATTTTGCCCTCCCAGGTGGAACAATCGTCCGTACTACTGGGGATCGAATTATTATCGTCCACAAAGGATGCAAGAACACATGTGCAGGATGCCTATTGATCCAAGTGATCCACAATTTGGCAACATCTATGAACCGGTGGGTGTAAAACTTTTGATTTGAATTACAATGAAATTATCTCGAATTAATCGTATTTATGTAAAGAGCAGAGTTACTAGTGGATGTTAGCGGAGGTCATTTGAAATCCTTTCTTACAAATACAGTTAAAATTTCGAAGTCAGGTGAACAAGGAATTCAGCGGGACTAATTCAAAAGTATTTGGAACCGTAAACGTCTAATCATAGTTTCAAGCTTACAGAGATGTAGTATAAAAGTGAATACGTTTGTATAGGAATTGTAAAGAATCGAGATTGTCCTCGTTATGCT